ATAGTATTTTATGAGTATTTATGAGAAAGCGCTTATTCTATGAGTAATTATGAAAAATTATGAGAAAATTTAATTGAAGAACCTACGAAACGACAGGATCTGCGCGCAATCTGCAGCCAATCTGCCGTCATAGTCTGTCGACAGGCTCTGCGCGCAATCTGCCGCCAGTCTGTCGTCAGAGTCTGTTCGCAGACCCTGTCAACAGTCTGGCGGCAGATTGGGGACGCAGATGTCTATGGATCTGTCGACAGATCCTGCTCGGATTCGACAGATCCTGTAGACAGTCTGACGTCAGTCTGCGCGCAGATTGCTTACTGGGTACTGAGATATTGCAATGTTACTGTGATAATAATATGTGATTGTGTAATATTATTAGAACGTCCACTGGAAGTTCAATGGAGGTTTAAGATGCGTACATTTGGATGTTGAGTGGAGGCTTTATGGATTTTCTATGGACGTCTATTAGAGGTTCTGAATCTCCATGATGGAAGTCTAATGGACATCCGATGGAAGTTTTGTTCCGTGTGGGTTGTAATTTGCGTGAACTTACTGAAAATCACTTTCGTAATTTGTAACTTTTGCAATGGTTCGTTTCCACGTCGACCTTCCCAATTATACTTTTCCGCCAATTCATTTGAAAATATCTTGCACAAAGTTCTCTTCACAGCATCATCGACGTTACTCCCAACCATGGACTTTACATATGTACGACATAAGAATATATATGTATTGTACATATATAATAAAATATAATATATCAAGCTTATATACGTGTATGTATTGTAAGAAATCATAGGAGGTAGTGACATCTAGCGATGTTAGTGTAAAGTTAAACACCGTAGCCGGGATTGAAGTCTCTTCTCCCAGGCGCCGAATCTTAAAATTCGTAGCGAGAGAAAAAGGAGAGGCAGAAGCCGCGCAAGTTTTGTCGAGTAACGAAGAGAGCGAGGAGCCCCGAGATCGTGTACCGGTATATGCCTGGTGTTTAAGTCAACTAAAAAAGGGCGGATTATCGCTTTGGGTACGGAATTTATTCGCGTATCTGTTCGGATATTGTCCCGCATGGACATTGGTTGTAATATCGAACTTACGTATAATTCTATTACGTTGTTATAAGTGCGACCGCGAAACACGAGTAGAGCACGTGCGGGTACAAGTTACTGAGGACTACCGCTTTGTATAATGTTCTCGTTCAAAGTTAATTGAGGAAATAGGAACTGTAAAGTACAATAAATAACTGTTTTGTGTTCTAATTAATGTCAGTTATTAACCCTAACAGCACGGGGACGTTCTGAGGACGTTCTGAGTAGATCGCAATGCGTATATTGCGATCATCTCAGAATGTTCTCATATGTACTGCGATCGAATGAGTACGTTCTGAGTAAATACACGCGCGATACAAATGCGTACGTATCATTTCAGTCAAACTTGAGAATGAACGCACGCGATAGAAAAGCGTACGTATCATTTCCGTATCCCTGAGTGAAATCTGAGAACATTCGCACGTGAAAGAAAACCGAATGATACTATAAGTGACGTTCTAGCGTTCAACTTAGTACGTCACAGATGATCACAGTACAATGAGTACGAAAATGGGATGATACGCAGTACGTCGCGTGCTGTTAGGGAACACTCGGACACCTGCACCGTGGGATAAGTTGCTATCGCTCCGGACAGGGCTAGCATCCGCGACTTATCTTACAGTATAAAGCACATAATATAGAGCGAGTAAGCGAGGGGGAGGGATATGTGAATATGGTGTGTATGTGTGTGTATGTGTGTGGAGAGAGAGAGAGAGAGAGAGAGAGAGAGAGAGAGAGAGAGAGAGAGAGCATACAAATGATATAAATTAATATGCATTTACTTACTATTGCACTAGCATCTTGGGAGTTTTCCCTTAACATTTCTTCTACTTCCAGTAGTTGGGCTTTTGTCTTTAGAAGAAATAAATTTTCCATTTCTTCATAATTACATTGCAGATTATGAGTCCTCTTTTCTTCTTCATTTCTCTTTACTGAAGTATCTAATAGAACCAATGAGTATCTGACATCATATTTCACGACAGCTATTTCTCTGCTCGTTTTAAATGGTCCACTGCAAATACGGTTTGCATTAGTAATTAGTACACCCTATGTGTCTTAGGTCAGTATTCATAGTCGGATTTTATATTTAACATCGTCTCAAGTTTATCTTCAGTCCAAAACCAATAAAATGCTCCGTACATCATCTGAAGATTAATTTAAGATGGTCTTAAATCCAACTTAAGATCCGACTATGAATACTGGCCTTAGTTCTCTGTCGACTGTCTATAACCCTTATAGAAATATCATACTAAGAATCATTGATAATTACTTATTATCCAGTATTTTTAATACTGAAAATAAGTAATTATCAATGATTCTTAGTATGATATTTCTATAAGGGAAGAGCCATTATACAATGCCTCGCTTTAAGCCTTAAGCAACTGAGCAACCACAGTCAATCATTTTCGTTACGTCTCAAGAATAATAAGAAAAATAATCGGTTGTGAATGGTCAGTTACTTACAACTTAAAGCTTAAACCCTTATAGAAATATCATACTAAGAATCATTGATAATTATTTATTATCCAGTATTTTTAATACTAAAAATAAGTAATTATCAATGATTCTTAGTATGATATTTCTATAAGGGAAGCCAGGTTGTAGACAGACACTTAGACCTGTTAAAGACGGCATAAAGACTTTTTAGTCCGACGTCTTGAAGATTATATATTAAAGATTATATTAAACATATAAGATTATATTAAAGATATTTCAACTTACCAATCGTTGCTTCTGATGATTGATAATTTAAATTATCGTTACGATGCATAAGCTCTCACTCTCTCTATCATTCCGCGTATAATCACGTGCAGCAACTCCCGAGCTGCGTTCGGAAATGTCATTCAAGTGTACCCGTTACGTTGGAGTGAGCGAGATACAAGAATGAGATAAAAAGAGAGGAAGAGTACTCGAGTGACGTTTCCGAACGCAGCCCCGGAGATGTATCGATAGGTCGATTCTTTGCAACTGCACATTGCGACAGATGTAAATATTGAAATAAAAAAAGCAATATATATGTGTGTGTATGCGTGCGCACACGCGCATGCTATTAAATATTGTAAGTTGTACAGAATTAAATGTCATGGTAAGAATATAAATAGGAATATACAGGGTTGGGAACGTTACTTTTTAAAAGTAACGCGTTACCATTACTGTTACTTGCGGTAAAAAGTAAGTCGTTACCGTTACTCGTTACTGATTCTAAAAAGTAACGCGTTACCGTTATTTGAAAAGTAACGATAAAAAAATTGTTACTTTCCGTTACTTTTGAAAAAAAAGTTAAAATCGGCTTATAAAACGAATAATAAGAGAGACATAAATTGTACATATATAAAGACAAAATATAAGATATTTAAACGAGAAGCACACATTCTTGCATAACAACATAAAGCCCATTCTACATTAGTCGCAAATCACAAAGTCGCAAAGAAATTGACTAATCATAGTCGACTGTTCTTCTTGCGATCGAAGAATAATCAATTATGATTGGTCAATTTCCTTGCGATCTTGCGATTGCGACTAATGTAAAATGGCTTTAGAGGCGCCGCACACAAGTTGACATAACAATAACGTAAGACGTACTGTAAAAATGGACCAATTACAATCGAATATTCACAAAAATGGCGACCTTACGGTTCGACGATACTCAAAGTGATTGGTCAATTCTTACGGTACGTCTTACGTTACTGTTACGTCAATTTGTATGCGGCGCCCCTTAAGCGTGGTATAAAATGAGAACTTAAGCCATAAAATTTAAGCTTTAAGTCCTAAGCCGTAAGAAGTTGACCAATTACAGTCAATTATAAGAAAAATAATTGACTGTGACTGATCAATTTCTTACGACTTAGAACTTAAAGCTTAAATTTTATGGCTTAAGTTCTCATTGTAGACCACGCTTTAGAGGCTTTCTACAATAAGCAATAAGTTTTAAGTCGCAATAAAATTGACCAATTACAGTGGATTATTCTTCTAATAGTCGACTATGATTGGTCAATTTAATTATGACTTAAAATTTATTGCTTATTGTAGAATGGGCTTTACGG